CACTGGTAAAATAAAAAACCATAAATATTTTTAGAAAATTTCAAGTGATTTTTAGTCACTTTCTTACATTCGAGGAATTCAATTTTCATAATTATACCTATTAGAAAATTCTTAAAATTTTTAAGTTGTTTTACTTTACCATTTTCATATTTATCATATAATTACATCTTATATATTCCACATTTTGGTTATTGGGGAGTTCATTTTTTTTCAAAATTTCACTATTCCATACTTATTTTTTATTGTTCTAGTATTTTTGAATCATTTTTTTATATTTTAGGAATTTCATATAGAAAATTCTGAAAATTTTTGTGGTTTTTTCTTTTACCACTTTGCGATTTATCATAACATTGCATCTTACATATTCCTTGGGGGAATTTTTTCTTTTTAAATCCCATTATTTCATTCTAATCTTTTTTCAAGTCATTTTCTTATATTTTTGGAATTTAGTTTTCATAGTTACATCTATTAGAAAATTTAAAAAAAATTGTGATTTTTTTCTTTTACCATTTTCATATCCATCATACATTTGCATCTTATATATTCCTCATTATCATTATCAAGGGATTTTGTTTTTCAAAATTCCATTGTTTCACACTTTATTTTTCTTGTATTTTTGAGTCATATTTTTACATTTTAGAAATTTAACTTTCAAAGTTGCACCTTCCAAAATATTCTTAAAATTTTTGAGTTTGTGTTGTTTACCAAAATTCCAAAATTTTTTGTGTTGTTTTCTTTTACCACTTTGAGACTAATCATAACTTTGCATTTTACATATCCCACATTTTCATTATTGGAAGATTTTTTATATTCCACTATTTCATTATAGTTTATTTTTCAAGTTTTTTTGAGTCATTTTCTTATATTTTAGCAATTTAATTTTCAAAGTTTCACCTTTCAAAATATTCTTAAAATTTTTTAGTTTTTAGATTTTACCATTTTTAGATTTATCATACCTTTGCATCTTGTATATTCCACACTTTCATTAATAGGGTTTTTTTTTTCAAAATTCCACTATTTCATATTTCTATTTTATTGTTCTAGTATTTTTAGTCATTTTTTTACATTTTAAAAATTTATTTTTCATAGTAAAATCAATTAGAAAATTCTAAATTTTTTTGTGTTAATTTCATTTCTTACTATCAAATTAATTATAATTTTGCATCTTACATATCCCACATTTTCATTTTTGGGAGATTTTTTTTTTAAATTCCACTATTTAGTTCTAGGTTTTTTCTATTTTTTTAGTTATTTTCTTATATTTTAATAATTTAATTTTCATAGTTATACCTATGAGAAAATTTTAAATTTTTTTATTGTTTTCTTTTACCATTTGCGTACCTTTGCATTTATATATTCTACCTTTTCAATAATTGAAATTATTTTTTTCAAAATTCCACTGTTTAATACTTGTTTTATTTGTTTTAATATTTTTTAATTATTCTTTAATATTTTAGAAATCCAGTTTTCATAATTACAGTGGTTAGAAAATTCTAAAATTGTTTGTGTTGTTTGCTTGTTCAACTTTTAGATTAATTATAACTTTACATGTTATATATCCCATACTTTTATTATTGGGGGATTTTTTTAATTCCACTATTTTTTTCTAGTTTTTTTAAATTATTTTATTACATTTTAAGAATTTAGTTTTCTTAATTACACCTGTCAAAAAAATTCTAAAATTTGTTCTGTTGTGTTCTTTTACCATTTTCATATTTATCATACTTTTATATCTTATATATTCCACACTTTCATTATTGGAGATCTTTTTTTTTTTCATTGTTTCATTCTTGTTTTTTTATTGTTCCAGTATATTTTTAGTCATTTTTTTACATTTTAGGAATTTAATTTTTATAATTATACCAGAAAATTCTAAATATCTTTTTCTTGTTTTGTTTTACTACTTTCAAATTAATCATAATTTTGCATCTTACATATCCCACACTTTCATTATTAGGAAAATTTTATTTATATTCTACTATTTCATTATAGTTTTTTTTATATTTTTTTAGTTATTTTCTTATATTTTAATAAATTATTTTTCATAGTTACACTTATAAGAAAATTCTTAAAATTTTTGTGTTAAATTTTTTTTACCATTTTCAAATTTATCATACATTTGCATTTTATGCATTCCACACTTTTATCACTGGGAGATTTTTTTTTAATTACACTATTTCATAATTGTTTTTTATTGTTCTAGTATGTTTTTTATTGTTCTAATATTTTTTTAGTCATTTTTTTATCTTTTAGGAACTTAATTTTGTAGGTCCACCGGTTGGAAAATTTAAAAATTTTTTGTATTGATTTCTTTTTGTACTTTTAGATTAATCATAACTTTGCATATTAGATATCCCACATTTTTATTATAGGGTATTTAAATTGCACTATTTCATTATAATTAGTTTTTTTATTTATTTTTATTCATTTTTTTACATTTTAAGAATTTAGTTTTTATACATGTTAGAAATTTCTAAAAATTTGTGTTATTTTGTTTTACTATTTTCATATTTACCAACCTTTGCATCTTATATATTTCACACTTTCATTATTATGAGAATATTTTTCTCAAGATTCCACTATTTCATATTTGTTTTTTATTGTTCTAATATTTTTTATTCATTTTTTCACAATTTAATAATTTAGTTTTCATAATTACATTACATATGTTAAAAAAATTTAAAATTTGTATTGTTTTCTTTTATTTTTTGTCAAATTAATCATAACTTTACATTTTACCTATCCAACACTTTTTTTAGAGTTTTTTTTATTTTACTATTTTAATTTTTTTTTTACTTTTTAGAAATTTAGTTTTCATAATTATATTTACATATTTATTAAAATTAAATTTGATTTTAAAATAATTTTAACTCGTTTTTTATATTGAATATAAATGTAAAATTTACATTAAATGAATTAAACTTGCTGATTTTCTAAATCAATATATACCTCTTTTCTTTTAATTTCAGGGTGATTTTCTAATCATTAATCTAAACACACTATAATTTTTGTCTCTAATGTAGTTTTAGAATGAAACATTCTAACGTAAATTAACTTTAAAATAATCAAAATCAAATTCAATTTCACAGTGACTCCTTTAAATACACTCGACGTTTATTTTAGTTTACAAAACATAATAGTTATTTCTAAAACTTTGTATAAATTATTCGAGCCGAAAGTAATGTGATTCTTTCCAATTAAAACAGAAAGAATTATTCACTATTTTTTTTTTGAGCAGGACTTAAATTTAATTTGAATTAGCCCAATTCTAATTAATATATAATTTAAATAACATAATATTTGTATTGATATAATTTGTTTTAGAATTATATTGGTAGGGATGAAAGTAGAGTAAAACCAAAAAGGTAAAAATAAAAAAACACAAAATATAATCTTTCTTGGAATCAAGTAAAAAAATTGGCAGGACTTTATGATCGATGCTACTAACCACTCAATCCATTAATAGTTGTCAGAATAGTCAACTATCGGTTGGTGATTCATTTTATTATAAAAATAAATTTAAATTTTATTAAATCCTTGCAATCATCAAATAACACTTACTACGTGTGAGTGTATAAAAACTGTATTGGAAAATCTCCTCTCACAAGTAGTTACACTATAGGATTCATAACTTGCCCATGTTTTCTTCTATTAGATAATCATAGAGCAGTTGTTTTGTAAATAGAAATAATTAATTATTATGAGAGAACTAAGAAATATATTTATTTCTTTAAAAAACATTATTTATTTTTTCTATTATTTTCTTTGTTTTCTCTTTAATTTATTATTAGATGTTTAAAATACTTGTAAACAAATAAAGTAAAATTAATAAAAATTTACTATTATATCAAATTTTAAATTGATAAATAAATCAGACTTTTTTTAAAAAGAATAAACATTTGAAAAACGTACCAAGATAAATAAATATAATAAGGATTTTTCTAACCCTTTTATTTTAGAAAAATAATTTTAATTAATTAGAGTCTAGTATTAAAAGAACCATTGATTGATAAAGATTGATACAATGTTTTAAACGTAATTGGCCTTTTGATTATTCTTTGAATAAATTTTGACATGAATGACTATATTTGGTTTCTCCTTCTATTCATTAGTTTCTAATACTACCTCGTTCCGAAATAACGGGCATATAAGAAAGTTCCAAAATCAAACATTAAAATGTTTTCTCCCTGGAATGCCCTTAAATAAATTATTTTCTCTTTTTATATAACTTAAAATGTATTTAGAGAAAGAGTCAAATTATTTCAAAAAGTAATATATTTATTATTGTTCTTAATACCTGTAAAATAACCTTAAATGGTAGTCGTTATAGATCGAGGTAATAATACTTTTAGTATACTTCTATGAAATTAAAGCTTCTTGGTTAAATTCAATTAAAGATGAACATGGAGTCTATTATAAAAATGCTATTGAAGATGGTTTTAAATCTTTTAATTGGGCAATGTTAAACTGAAATAAATATAAAAGAGAATAACATTCATCTTAAATAATAAGAGATTTTAATTCTATCAAGAAGTCGAAATTAATTAGGTGATTAAAATTTAATTAAAAAACACAATTAATGCTTGGCCTGTACAACTATGATAGAAAAACCCAATAATAATGACTATAAATGAGCAAGTGGAAAATACCATCATCAGCATTTAAGATACTTGAGCATAAGATAAGGAACAATCATCGGATAAGCTAATAGCTTACTTAAATAGAAGATCACAGGTTTTCTCTTTTTATTATCAATACAAATGAGAAATGGAATAAACACCACAATGGAAAAGCTGTTAAATTTCATGGCATTTTCCTATCTAAACTCGAGCTTTGCCGTCAACTAACCTGAAACACAAACTTTTAAACAGAAAGAAGTAATACAAAGAGCTAAAATTCTAAATTTACATTGAGTAAGATCAAATTCATTACAAAACCAAAGATGAAGAAAAAAAAAAAAGGGGGCCATATATGTAAAAAAACTCGATTTAATCTTATTATTATGATTGCACAGCTTTACTTTGTTTGATACATGCCGGTGACTTGAACTCCTGGCATTTGCATGTTGATGTGGCCTCAATTTGCATCACTCTGTCAGTGGATGACTCCAAAGGAAACAACGGTATATTACCAATGTGATTGCCTGCATTCATCTCAGTCAATGGAGCACTTCTAGCTCTCACACATTCCTTTGGCTGTGCCCTATCTTTGGAAGTGCAAATGCTTAATGACAACTTCTTTAGCTTCACCCTTCCTCTCTTCTTACCTATAGAAGACAAATCTTCTGAATTTTTCTCCTTTGACTGGCTTGACTCTGCTTCCCCATTATCTATTGCCTCCATTTGGCTAGATCTATCATATCTGAATCGCTTCTTATCTTCCTTGCTTGAACACACGTCTTGAACGGAGCCTTCAGAATCAACCTTACCCACCACTGCATGCCCATTGTTCAAAGATAAGCAATCCTGCCCAATTACCACACGGGAATCAGAAACCTCAGTCATTTCAAAACTCGAAGAGTTCTTAGACCTTTTGTGTTTACTGCCTTTTGAGTCTGAATTTGGAGAATTTTTTGAGATTCTAGGAGAACTGTTCATGGCCCGATGCAACTTCCGGGCCAATTCTTCGTCCGTCCCACAATTTTCAATGGGTTGGTTTTTTTTGTACAAGAGATGAACTGGGAGATGCTTCTTGAACTTGTTCTTCTTCGGATTTCGTTCCTTGCCAATCGCTGCCTCTTCAGAGAAAGAGGCAACCAAATCCAAAGCTCTCTTGGCAGCTGCCACTGCCTTCGCTGCTATCTCGGCCTTTTCCTCAGCTGCGGCTCTTGCAGCCTTTGCAGCTTTAGCTGCAGCCACTGCTACAGCCTTTGAAGCCTCCACAACCTCATCAGGAGTAAGGTTAGGGTTAGTGGGATGAGAATTCAACAAATTCTTAAGCCTGGCTTCAAATTCACCAGAATAGGAAGATGGTGAAGAGGAAGCAGCCTCGGAAACTGTAACACAAGAAGCAACAACCAGAGATGGAGATGCGGCAGCATCACCATCTGAGCTCTGTTTTTTTAATCCTGCAAGAAGACGCTTACGAGGAGGCAAAAGAACGTCAGCATCCAAGTGATTAACATCACACACGTTCTCCATACTCCTCTGGTAAAATCCAATTCAATGCTTCTCAGAAAACAATGAACAAATCTTCACAAGCATTAAATTCCAAATCCGTTCACAATCAAATGTTTTCCTCTTATTTGCCGATTTAACTCACAAATCCAACTCCACATCAGCGATCAAACGAAGAATTAAAAAAAAAAAAAAAACTACTAGATTCTTAACAAACCCTACAAGAGAGCCTAGCCAAGTCGGTGGGGCTTTGTTCTCGCATCAGGAAATGAAAATTCGATTCATCACCATCATGTTCTTACATTCCAGCGCTTCAGTTCCTAACCATTAAACAAGGAGCAAAGTCAAAATCTAGCACAATCGATTCAGCGTATCTCAAGTACGAAAACAAAAAACAGAGCAATGAAACAGAAAACGTTAATAGTCGTTAATCAAGTAGCGTGCACGTGGATGCATAATTCGGCAAATAACAAAAGCAATTTGAATTCAGAGAGATATATTGGAAGGAGCAAGCTCATGCATAGTAGAGCTTCGTATTCATTCACATACACATGTTTAATTCTATACGTTTCCAATTAAGTTGAGAAAACAAATGAATCAAGAATTGAATCTGGATTAAACTGAATTACGGGGAATCGGAAAGAATTCAAGGAAATTGAGGATCGAATTTAGAACCATTAAAAAAAAAAGGAGGTACACAAGTACCTGATCCTGTGGAGTACTCAGAGGAAACGGCGACGAATGGATTAGGGTTTTCGGTAAGAGAGAAAATAGGTGGTGGTGATGGTGATGAAGGTGTAGGGGAAGAAAATCCAGGACGTGAGTGAGAAAAAATAAAACCAAATTTTTTTATTATTATTATCTTTTCTTTTTTATACCTATTGTTAGTTTCTTGTTATTTATATTTATTTTTAATTTTTTTACTAGAAATGTCAGGAAGTGAAAGAATTTGGATCAGTTCTGTTTTCACAAACAAGCACGCAAGCTAAGACATGCCAATCACTCACTCCTAAGTTTTTTTGTTTTTTCTTTTGTATTTTCTTTGTAACTACTCTAACTTTGTTAGAACATTTCAAATAGAATTTACTCATGCTGGAATAAAATATTAATTATTTAAAAAAATAAAACTTAAAAGATAAATAAAACATAAATAAAAATAAATAATAAATTCTTTAAAGTTTTTAAACAAATTATATTAAGAACAATAATTATAAATTGTGTTAAGTATAGTATGTTATAATAAATTTATATTTTTTAAAATGAAAAAAGACGTAAATGAGATATTCCTGTTAAAAATATGTTTATTATTTTTTAACCTTACTTTTTACAAATTTAAAATTTCTATTTTGTGTTAGTATTTTTTTTTTTAAATAACCTTATATCATTTGTTTCAAATAACCTTATATCGTTTAAATTTTGTCTTTGTGAACCTCACTTTCAATCCCAATTCGGACCAGTCTCAGTATGCTCCCATCTCCCCTCTTAACTCCACTTTTTGTCAAGACGCTACCTTACAGTGTCACCGCATATACATGTTTTAAAGTAACTTTGGATATATTTGTTTGCATAAAATGTGGGCAATAAAAAAAAGTGATTACTATAAGCAAATGAGAAAAAAAAATAATAGTAAAAAATTTATTAATATAAAAATTTTAAAAATAATTTTTTTAAAGGTTTAAAAATATATTTTAAAATTTTTAAGAAAAAAACGAAAAAAATATGATATTTTAAAAAAAAATCTCTCGCGGTTATTCATTTCATATATTATATTATTTACTGTATTAAAGTCAAATATATTTATAAAAAATATAATTTTATGAAAGTGTTATATATATATAAGTGTTAATTTAAAAAAGATATTTAAATTATAAAATAATTATTACATAAATAATTTTGTAATTATATAAATATTTGATTTATTTATTATTAATATTTTTATTTATTTTTATGTTAATTTTTCTCTAATATATATATATATATTTACATTTTTTATTTTCTTTTTTCGTATGTTTTTTTTATTATTACAGAAAGGACTCTTAAAGACTAATTTAGATATTCACCCATTTTCTTTGTATATATTAATTAGTTTTACTCTATACACTATAAATCACTTAAAGATAATGTCATATGAGAATACATAAGTGTTTTTTTACCATAGATATATTAACTGATGTTATAACATAATTTTTGAACATGTTAATTGATTCATATTATTATTAGAGTAAACTTTAGGTCTAAATATTTATTTATTTTTAAATTGATTATAATAATTATGTTATTATTATTATTATTAAATACAAAAAAGAATTGCCTTTGTAATTGTTTTTTTTTTTTTGGAGAGATCAAAATATAAATATTATAAATAAGAAATCAAAATAAACACATTTTCTATATTTGGTGTGCGTTAAAAATTTCCGCTATATTAAGTCTTATTTTTTTATCAATATATAATTATAAGGAAAACACCTCTATAAACAAATTTTCAAATATTATAATTATAAGGAAAACACCTTTGTAACCAAAATTCCATCTATTGTTACCATGTTTTTTTCTTTCCGTATTTATCATTTGTATAACTATAAAGTTTTTAGTTAAATTAAAGTAATTACTTCTAATGATATAAGAAATAATTTAAAATTACCATTGAAAAATTAATTGTAAATGAATATTTTAATTCGTTCATTACATTATAAAATATATTTTTTATAAAATAGAAACTTAATATATATATATATATATATATATATATATACTATTTTTAAGTATATAAATTATAATATAAGATAAATTTGAAATAACCAAATATTTTTATTATATAAAATATATTTATAATTACAATATATATTTTTAATTGTGGTATGAAATTATTTTTAAATAAACAAAATATAGGATGTTTTATGTGATTTTTTAAAAACTCAATTATATATTTATGTGATTTTTTTTTATGTAGACTATATATTTTATGTTTTTTCTTTATAATAACCTTCACAAAATACATTAGAATATATGTAAAAAAAATGTTAATGTAAAATTAAGCGAATGTGGGTATAATTTATTTCTTAACATTGAAATAAATGAGCAGTTAAATAGGAATAGGAATAAAAATAAAAGTAAATATAGAGAATATGGTTATTTTATTTACGAAGATATTCATAAATAACATTATCACATTAAGATGGAAGTAAGAGCGAAATTATCATTATGTTACAAACTAAAAAATTCAAATAAAAAAAGGTAGAATCAAAATATTAGAAAAAAAAACTTATGACTTAAAAGTTCAATTCATAGACTAATTTCTTTATAAATAAACGTGTATATATATATATATATATATATATATATATATATATATATATATTCAAAATGAAAGTTAATTTTTTTTACGAAACCTTTATACAAAAGAAAAAAAAACTATTTACTCAAAAATTTAATTAATAGTAATATAATTTAATTTAAATTATTAAAATTAATATCATAATAATTTATCGCGAACAAGTCTTAATATAAAAATAAAAAATATAGATTCTTAAAAGAAAACCACAAAACTAAATGTTGATGTTATATCCCATCTTTTTTAATGATAAATTATAAACTTGTATAATGATTTTTTTATATCAATAACTTATTCTTATTAAATTAATTAAACTATATATTTAAAGATATATTCTTATTTTTCATCTATTTTTATGTTAGTAAATAATTAATATTTTTTTCTTCATTATTCTCAACTTTTTACTTTAATGTTTTTATTCATTCTATTTCTTTAGTTAAAAACATAGAAAGTTTAATATTTGCAACTACCTTCTCACAATTTTTTTTTTTAGAAAATTGTTGCATGTAGTAACATTAATTATCCCGTGACAGAGATCGGATGAGCCGAATCACAATCGAATTGTTAAATAAAAAGAGTTATATATTTTTTAGTCTAATAATAAAAGTTTGATCTTAACAAAAATATCGATTTTATAAATAATTATAATATATCATTTTTATTTCTATTTATAAATATAATAAAATAATTAAAAAAATTTTTTATTGCATATCTAATAAATATTTAAAGATAAAAAATAAATTAAAAATATAATATTATTATAAGTATATATAAAATAAAAATGGTTTGTATGACTTCTCGCGACTTCTCTCTTTCATGAAACTTTTTATAAAATGATTTATTACAAATATATATCGTTAAAACTTTTAAAAAATATATATATAATTTTTATCTCATACTTATAATATTAGTAGGATGAACCTTTTCAATAAATACTTTGTTAAATGTATATTGTTAAAACCTTTTTCAAAATATATAATTTTTATCTCATAATTATAATATTATTACTTACTAGAAAAAATATAAATAAGTAAAATATTATTTTAAAATATTTTATTAAAATAAATAAACAAGAGACGAAATAAATACAAAATAATATTAATATCTTTTAAATCAATATTTTTATAAACAAGCATTTATAATAATAATGTTCAATTGCATATTATTACAATATATTTGTTTGTAATGGGTCAACCATACCTTTTGACTCCAATCCTAACCTATTTTATGTGGGAGTATAGTCTTTTTTTTTTAACCATTATATGATTTAGTAAAAAGATGATAACTTAGGAATAGGTTGGAATTTATCAGTAAATGATAGAATCATATTGGCATATCTAAATAAGAGGAAAAACTACTAAACAACATGTATAGATTCAATATCCCTCTGAGCTAACAAAATGGTCAACTATTTTCTTCCCTCTTATGCATTCTAGCTTATAATAAAAAGGTAGATGTCTTAAAATTTTACTTAAGACAGGTAATAGTTTTAAATGACTCAAAGTAAATAACACTAAATCATCACAAAAATATAGAAGAATTATTGGTATGCTTATTTTGAATATTTTTTATTTCATTTATATTTATGTAGTTTTAGTTTTTTAAAATGTATTTTAACTTGTGTAAAATAAATTGCTTGGAACATGCTTTTAGAAATCAAGAAACTAAAAATATGTTTATATTTTAAGGAGTTATTATTTATTTTTACATTTGTAAAAAGCATAAAGTGTGGTTGAGATAAAGTGTTTGATATGATGGACCAAGTATAGTTATAAAAAAATATTATTTTGTTTGTGATCTTGTAAGATGGAACTTGAGGATGAGAAAAACTAAAATTGATAAATTATGTGTAAGGTTTTGATAATCAAATTGTGGGGAAAATATTTGTTGTCCAATAATGTTTTTGAAATTAAAATATTCGTTGTTTATTAATATTCATTAGATAATAATAATGTATAAATAATATTTTTATTTAATATTATAATTAAGTATTGTTGTTGCAAAATATTATTACTTGCTCTCCTTAACCTTAGTCGGTATTGGATCGATGTCTTAATATTTTAGGGAATAAATACTTAAGTCTTATATACAATATTTATATGTAATGGATCATTGTATACTCGATTCAAGATATCGGTTATATACCTGATTGGATTGTTTAACGGGTCAGAATTTGTGTTTTACATACAGGTTGGACCAGCCTCGAGGGTTAAATACTAAAGTTTTTTTATCTGATTGTTATAAGGTCCCGTAATTAGTTCGATTTCATAGGTCGATTAATTACATAATATTTTGGGTGAGATACTCAGGATTAATCATAGGGACGAGATATTAGGAGAGTGAATTATTTTGGATACTACAAGTATATTAATAAATATTATTTATTATTCAAAATAATATTGGTAAGAGGTTTATAAATGATATTATTTTGTATAATAGATATATTTTTATAAAATATTAAATACTGACTTAAGTATTAGAGTTTCTTTGTTGGTGTAATTTTCCATTTTTTCCAATCACCAAAACTTGAATTTAATGAACACAACTCAAATTAAACTATTGTAATCAAAACTAATTATTATTTGTTTTTTTTTTTGCAAGAACATCAATCATGAATGTTTTGTTTTAAATTTGATTAGTTGGAAGTAGAAGGTGACAAAAAGGAACATCTAACAATGTGAACAATCCATTTAAGCGTTTTCAACTTTATCTTAAATTCACTAAGCGAATATAAATCCGTTAGGCGGATTTGTGATAGTGACAGATTGTGTAATATGTTCTAATATTCAGATAAAATTAAATTCAAATATTACCTTCCAAATTATATATCAATTCACTAAATTCAATATAAGAATAATACATTAGTTAGGATCGAGCGTTTATCACTAGGCCAAAAGTTATAGCCATTAGTCAGAGCACTAAATTCAATATAAGAATAATACATTTTGTTAGGATCGAGCGTTTATCACTAGGCCAAAAGCTATAGTCATTAGTCAGAGCGCAACTCTTTTTACTTTAAAAGTCCAAGCGCCACGATTCAATTGTGACTCGGCCCACCTGACATTCGTCATAGGACAATTGATGCTACCTGTAACAATCTCCCCCCAGCAATTGTCCTACAAGATATCCCACTCTTGGATTGTGACTTGACCCACCCGGCCTCCGTCACGGGACAATTGTCCAACTCGCAACAATCTCCCCCTCAACAATTGCCCACTAGGAATCGAACTCGTGACCTTGACTCTGATACCAATTGTTAGGATTGAACGCTTACTACTAGGCCAAAAACTATAGCCATTAATCAGAGCGCAACTCTTTTTACTTTAACAGCCCAAGCCCCACGATTCAATTGTGACTCAGCCTACCTGACCTTCGTCACATGACAATTGATACTACCTGCAACAACATTCTTACAAAAGACTATCATTTTCAATCTTATAGAAATCAATTATGCATTCACATTCAATATAATCATCTCAAATCAATACATATACGATTAGATCATCCAATTTTATGAAACTTAATTAATGTGACCAATTGGAAAGAAAGTAGAAAAAAAAGATAGTTATTATAAGAATGCAATTTGAATGATAAAACTTTTATATGTATAATGTTTTTTTTTCTGTAAAATTTTAAAATTACTCTCATTATATCATTTCTAGTTATAACTTCTTTAAATTTGATCTGATTTATCACACTTTAGTAAAATTATCTAAAACTGTCAACTAAAGAATAAATTTATTAATTATTATTTTTTTAATCTGAAAATTGTCCTTTTTTTTATTACGCATGTTTTTCTTTCTTTACTTTCTTTATTATCTCTTTGTGTTAGAAGATGACTCCATTTATTTATAATAAATTTATCAATTTTTAAATAAAAAACTCTTCAAGATTATTCTACTATGTCAAATACTAAGATTTAGAAGACTAATTTAATTTGAAGACTTTTAGTTTATGATGTGATTAGAGTGTAAAATTCAATTAATTTTATAATTTGTTTAAAGGATAAAAGGGAAAAGATAAACTAAATAGATGATGAAATTTTATCAACTTCTAACCATCAAATTTTATATTATAATTTTTAACTTAGTAAATTGTGTATAAATTATAATATAAATTGTATCTAACAATATTTTATATAGAAAAATAAATTAGGATATTTATTAATTATAAAAAAAATGATTAACAGTTTTATAATATAATGATTAAGATAAACTATTGTCTTAAATTTTTATATTAAAAAAATAATAAAAATAAAAACTAAACTTTTATAGCTATTTAATATAAATTTAGGTCATTGATTATCTTTTCTGAAATTTACTCTTTTCTTAAATATACTCATTTCTTTTAATGATCTTATTCCATTATTATTTTGGTATCAATAAAAGAATATGAAAAGTATAAAAGAATATAAATATGAAAAATATATAAAAATAATTTTCAATTTTTTATTTAATATATTTAATTATTTATAAAAAAAATCAGATGATTCATTTTTTTAGATTAACATAAACTTAATAAATCATAAAATTTAAAAGAGGCAAAATTATAAATATAGGCGTAGTAAAATATTTGGGCATACCCGTTACCAACTAAGATCCGCCCCTCCCAATGCTTTATCATATCTCCTTTCTTTGAGAAACCTTTAATGTAAAAATAAAATTAAGGACCGATAAATAATAATAATAATTTGCGGTTCATATTTAAAGAACTAAGATAAATTCATCAACTATTGATTGACTGTGTCACGCAAAATCATCCGCGGGTGATATTACCATAACCTCACGTAAGGCACACTTTCCTTGCCCGCTTCCCGTAAGTTCAAACCGCTAGTCGGTGCAGAATTGGAAAATAGAAAGACGGTGAGGTCTCTTCTCTGCGAGAGACTTTCCCTTTCAAAAGTCACTGTCCGATCAGAAACCCTAGGAGCCGGTGAGGCGGGGAGCCGATCGAGCATGCATGTTCATCGTAATCGGAGCGGCGGCAGGGCTTGATGGCCAGCATAAAGCCTTTGCCGGGGGCTGTACGCAGCTCACTGCGTTCTGGCATTTTCTTGTTCGACTTCACGCGCGTCGTCGAGGAACTGGTTTTCAATAGCCTCGATGCTCGTGCCACAAAGGTATCACTTGAGAGAGAAGTGGAAGTGCATTAGCTTTTAGAGTTCGGGTTATATCGATTGAGTTTTTTTTTTTTTTTTTTTTCTTTCAGGTATCAGTGTTTGTTAGTATTGGGAAATGCTATTTGAAAGTAGTAGATAATGGTAATTTTTTTATTTACAAAAATGAATGTCTGTTTATTTTTACGTGCTAAAAATTTGGAACTCATTGGCACGTTTAGGTTATCGTCTCTCTTTATGGTTTCAATTAATGTGCTTGTAGGAAGTGGAATTACGCGAGATGGACTGGAGTTGGTGGGAGAAAGATATGGTATGCATTTCTTCGTTTTTGTTTCTTTGTTCGACGTGCCTACATGCTCCATTTTTTGGTGGCCGTTTCCTGAACGCAGCACTACCAAGATATGACTATATGTTCATTAAAAGTAAAAAAAAAAATACCGTCATTAGAACGCTGCCAATAGACGTTTTTATTGTTTTAAGATTTTCCTATTAACGATCCACAGTTTACTTACAAGATAAAGTCTTCTTTACGTGGTAAGCCACACACTACTGAGTGAGCTTGCGGGTTGTTTGCTCAAATTTCTTTTGTGGAGGTGATTGTAGGTTGTTAAATAATTTAATTTCCTTAAATGCCTTTCCTTGGGGGCAGTGTTGGGAAATTTGTATCAAAAGGAGTTTTTGGTTCCTGGATTCTAAAACTATTAGTTAATAAAGTAACTAGAGTTATCAGACCATACAACATTCGAGAAGCAATGATGAGTGACTTTTTGTTAGGTTATATTACATGAAAAGGAAAAGAGGAGCCTTCTTTTTATTTTTCCATGAATTTGAATTTCCTTGCTTCCTTTGATAATGTTATGTATGTATTCTGAACAAGCAGCAACATCAAAATTTCTTAATTTGGTTGACCTGAATGCTACTAGTGAGAATTTTGGTTTCCGTGGGGAATCTTTGGCTTCCATTTCTGAAGTCTCTTTACTGGAGATTGTGACAAGAACACATGGAAGGCCAAATGGATATCAAAAAGTACTGAAGGTGAGGATAACTTCCTATGCTTTTCAGGGAGACATGAATCATATTATACTGCTTTTGGTGTAAGTTTTGTTTAAGTTTACGCGTCTAAATTGACTGCAGGGGTGCAAGTGTATATATCTTGGCATTGATGATGATGATGATAGAAAGGAAGTGGGCACCACAGGTAGTAATTTTGGTGAATCTGACAGTTTTTTTTTCCCTGTATGTCCGAGAAGGACACATACTAATACTTAGATGGCATTCATTTTCCCTAAATTTAAAGGATTCTTACATGATAGTCTAGGATTTTGAGTCATGAAAATCCTTTTATTTGCACTGGTTCCTCCTTTTTGTCTTTGCATTTTCAATTTAAGCTAATTAAGATTTGAGGTTTCTATTTTATGGTTTCTAGCTCTCTCATTTTGCTTTTGGTTCTATATATGTATATATTTCCATAAATTTGCTGCTTTTCTTGGTTAGTTGGTAGAGGTATATTATTTTTACTTAATTCTATTTGTAGAGGAATTTTGTTATTCTTCCTTTGGCTCAACATTTCTACTGATTATCCGGTTTTTATTTAGCAAGCGTTCATGGAATTCTTCAGTCTTCCTTTATTTGCACTTTTCTTTCATGAAAGAGAGTTGCCATTTTAATGCTGAGCTACTAAATTTTATGATCGATTGTTTATCATGTAGTCTTTTGTAGTTGGTTGGTATTGCTACTATTCTAATTATAACTTTGGAGCTATGCTCAAGATCTATGATATAGTCTTTGACATAGATCTAAATGCAACCTGGTCAGACCTCTCCAACATGTTTAATTTTCCAAATTATGGGACACCGAGACATTACATTCACCCACCCACATGCTAGCAAAAAACTCAAATGGGCAACATAAGTGCATAACAAATGTTCTAAATTTATAATTAAGAAAGAAATGATAACTTATTTTTCTCAGATGTATAAGAGAGTTGTTGATAAACAAACAATATTTTTGGAAATAAATTGTTTTAAAACACATGTATTTTCACATTCTTCCTATGACAGCGCGTCTCATAGGTTGAACACTCTTGGAAAGTTTGAGTAAATAATTTAATTAAGCATATTCAATAAGTTTTTAATGTAGGAGAGCATATGCCATAAATTTGACCATGAATTTTTTTGGAATAAGCTAAGAAGAGCTTATTTTGCTAAGTTTGAATGAGAGCATATTGAAATAAGCATAAGAGTTTATCGGAGTCAAACTATTTTTAAAAGCACAGATAAGCTTTTCATAAGGCTCTTCTAATTGCTTTCTTTTTCACTTTATAAGAAATCTCAAAACAAGAAAATGAATTGTATATTTCAAGGTATATTCATCTTCTCACAATAACTTGCTAACTTACATTTTTTTCTATTATAATGACCTTACAAAAATCTACTGAGGTGTTGTTTGAAATTTTTTACACTGTATTTTGAGTTGAATTTTCTAAATATTTTTAGAAATTCAATATATATATACATATATATAAATTATACTATTGTCCTTAAAGTGTCTATCCATGTGGAAGTTTTGGCTGAAGTGTGTGATGAAAAATAATATTTTAATCAAACACCCAGTGAGGAGTGTCTAACATGGGTTGTTCTGGTGTCAGTGTTGGAGTGTGTATAACATTTTGACATCTCATCCTAGAGAAGTTATTCTTCATGGAAAAGTTTCCTGACTCTTAAAAGGATATTTTGACTGCTTTCCATTTTTCTTTTTCACAAAGCAGGGGGAAAATTTTGGAATCTTGTTTTGCAGACATTATATTCATTTCTTATATGCTAGATCCTTATAACAACTTAAATTTTGCCATGATTGCAGTTTTATTTGTTAAATCTCATCCATTGAATGGAAAGATTCTTGATTAGGACCATTGATTGCCATTTTACTGAAATCTTTTACTTGATGATTGCTAGATCAGACAATTTTTAATCTGTCTTACTTGCCCCATTCGAAAAGTAATCTTTCCCTTTGCTTGCAATTAAGTTGTTTGCTCTTATAATTTCTCTTATTGAGAAATCTTCAATATCTGCCCATATTCATTACATTTATCTGGATAGAAAGTCCTTTCTTGATGATGACATTTTTTTTCTCATTCTTCTGGCACAATAACGTGATTGCTACATAAGGCCTTGTATCTTTCAGTTGTCGTCCGTGATTTATTTTACAATCAACCAGTTCGGAGAAAATACATACAGTCCAGGTTATTTTTCTCTTGTCCTTCCATACAAATGATATGTATTCTGAAGTTGTAGTTACCTTGAATGAATCCTATCACTATGTTTTGAATTTTTGCATTGACTGGTGAATTCCATCTCTAAATTGGAAGTCCCAATAAGGTACTGCAATCAATCAAGAAATGTGTAATGCGGCTTGCACTTGTGCGTCCAAATATTTCCTTCAAAGTTGTTGATATTGAAAGGTATATTATATCTCTTCAAAACAATTTACGTCTTCTTCTTCTTGGTTTGCTAACATTCTTTTATACCTTACATATAGAGAGGATGAAGTCTTCCGCACACATTCTGCTTCTTCTCCTCTGTCACTTGTAACTAGTGGCTTTGGGGTTGAGGTCACAAGTTCTCTTCACTATTTAGAAGTTGAGAATGATATCATAAAGCTATCTGGATATATATCCAGTCCTTGCAATACTTTAAATATGAAGGTAATTCATGTTTCTAATGTAAAAAGTCAATTGTCTATTTCATGTTACCCTTATATGTAGATCTTTCTGGGTCCTCTCCCCTAAACTTGGATGCATTTTCGCAGGTCCTGCAGTATGTCTGTATCCATGTGACCACTATTTTAAGTAGTGTATTATTGGTAGAGTGAACTGGTTGATGTCTGAAAAGAATCAAATGCTTTAAAAAAATTTATTGTTGTCCTTAACATTGGGAAGATGTTAACTCACAATTTGTTTGCAAAGGCCCAATTCATAAGCTTCTGAGTCAACTGGCCCTCAGGTTTGAGCATCTGAACTCATGGAATACTGATAACGAGTTCCGAAGCAAGAAAAGAACCAGATGTCAGCCATGTCCAGCTTATCTCTTGAATTTAAGTTGCCCCCGATCTATGTATGATTTGGCCTTTGAGCCATCAAAAACTTATGTTAAATTCAAGGTATAACTTTTCTCGGCTTCCCTTTCCACATCTCATTATATCTTGTTAGTACTTCAATAAGGTAAGAATGCGTTCTTGTTTCCATGAATGATTTTTGTAGGTTCTAGTCTAGATTCAGGCTTTTATGTTATACTTCATGTACTTTGGGTTGTTTATATTAATCCCACCAAGGAACAATGATCAGAGGTTTTAAACTTTCTTTTTCCTATACTGGAAGTTTTGTATGAATTATTTTATCACAACACTGCACGCTACATAAATGTGATTATCTCTTTTTCTCTCACATTTTAAGGATTGGACTCCTATTCTAAACTGCATTGAGAAGGCGATCAAACAATTCTGGGACGAAAACATAGCTTCTGGTATAGTCTCTCACTGCATCATATTCATATGTAGTACAATGAATTACTGGTTTTAATGCTTCTATTATCTACGACATTCTTGCAGTAGAGCACTCCAATCAAGCTGCTTACATGGTAGATGATCAACAAGAGAAAGCATATGTCAACATTATGTCAGAAGTATCAGGTAAAGTTTGTAATTTTCCATTATCTAATAGTTTTCTTTGCAATTGCACTAATTTAGTCTGATAATTTTTTAACCATTTACTTTTATGGTTGTGCCTTTCTTCATCTTATATATTTAAGATAAAAGTGAGGTCCATATTTTTTACAGAAAAACATGTCTTGAATGATTTATATGCTACAGTGGTTTGCTTTCTCTTTTAACATTTGAAGATTGTTGACATATATTTTGATGCAGATATATCAAAGTTTCGAAACCAAAATCATAAGGATTGCCTAGATCTCTTCTTTTCTACTTCAGACAAGCTAATTGAAGATGAATATCATCAATCCGATAGGGAAGATGTTAGAACCTCCATTGATTACTCCGAGGCCCCGATGTTCAAAGAGAAACGAAGTACAGGAGACTTTTTTTTTCAGACTGGTTATTCAGGCAACTTACCGGATGATTCACATGCCAATTGCATATCAACTGTGATGGGAAGGCATAACAGTTTGTTGATGCATGATAACAGTAGTTCATTGAAAGGAGATAACCTTTTTGATGTTTTGGCCACAGAAAGTTTAAATGATGATGTACCTTTTGATGCACTGAGTTCTTCACAAGGAAGAAAATTCCATAAAGAAGCTGATGTGATCTATGAATCATTTCAAGATGATTTACGTTATAGCTACAATGGGTATAGTTATGATGTGAATAATAATGGGGATTTGCAGAAACCTTTTTTAAAGAGATGCTCTACAGTAGGAAGTATCCTGCATGAGAAAGATTTCTTTGTAAACGATGCGTGTGAACTCCAAACTGATAGCTTTTGTAGCAAGCAGAATACAGGGGAGGATTATAGAAGTGGTAAGAATTTATGTGATCGTCTCTATCCAGAAGTGACCAAAAAATTAAAGATGTCTAAAGATTCTGATTTTCTTGAAAGAGTATTGGCTGAAGAAAATTGCTTCCCTCCAGATTTATGCTACTCAGCATCACCAATAGGAAGATCTGGATCAGATGATCAGTTATTAAATTTTGAATGGCATCCTATCTACCCAAAACCCTCATCTCAAGCACCTGCACTGGGTGTTTATCATACAACTGATATTCAATATGATCTTGGAGGAGTATCTAGACACTTTAAACGGATCCATCATACAAAACGTTTTGATGACAGAGGAGAATGCAATTTCAGCTACAATATGTTGAGGAATACCAACCAACGACACTGTGCATCAAGTTATTCAAATATTGGATTTAATTTTGATGTTGCTGGTGATTCTGGTGAAATATTCAACAAACTAGTTGACTGCCCTGATTTCAATGGCCTATATTATACAAAAAGGTCAGATAGGTTAAATGAGGAGCCTGACTGGCTGTTGTCTCAGTCATGTGTTAAAAGCTGCAAGAGACCTAACAAGAAGAAATATGAAATGGATCGATATAGAAATTCAACTTTGGAGCAAAATCATGAAAGATCTAGAAGAAGCTTTTCCGCTCCACCTTTCTATGGAAGCAAAAGGAGGTTTTTCTCTTTAAATCATCCTTCAGAAATGAAAGCCAAAAGACAGATTGACCCAGTGCATAACCCTGCTTTCAATCATCAAGGTCTTTAATTTTCTCCCTTTTATTTTTATCCTTTGCTCCCTTTTGTTATGTAGTAACATTTCCCAATAGCACAAATTGGGACTGATGCTTTTGAATATGCAGAAGCCAGTAATTCTAAATATCCTCAACATTCCCTTGTTGCTTCTCACCAAAGCACTAAAGATCTCTTATTGCAAGAATTCAAGTAGGATAATATCTTATTAATCCATAAGAGCTGCTTAAATGTTGGGAATAAAGTCTTACTGACCCTTGTGGTTTTGCACGGATTGTAGAATCAATATGAAACAAACTTCAGAGGTTATGGAAGCTATGGAGGTTAGTGACATAACGGAGAGTGAAGAATTTGAGAGTTTTAACATTCAAAACAGTGATTCAGTTGGGGGTAAGTTCAACGTGTTGGTAGAATTGTAGTCTGATATGACAAGATGAGCTCCTTTTGAAATACCTTAGTTATGTCTCAGAAGCATGTTAAAATTGCCCAGCTTTGAAATTCAGCCTGAGGGAAAATGTATTTGCTTTCTAGCCATCTTATCTTTATAGATTGTTTTGATATACTTATATAATTCTAAAATGTAAGTTTCTTTACAATTAATTTCTTGACGCTATGTAAAGCTGGATATTTCTTTGTTAATTAGCATTTTCTGCCAAAACCAGAAGGCCAATAAATGTGGAAGTTTTGTAATTTCACCATCTTCTTTTTCAAAAAAGTTAATTGTTATTCTGTTTGGGTCATGCTTGCATTTTATTTCGTGTTTATATGATCCAAAGTTGAATATTTTCATGCTTGCTATTTATTTCATTTTTATAAAATCAATCACTGATTATTTTAAAAGGTCCGTCTTATCATTCAATTGTTAATTTCTATTAAAGCCATACTATCTGGTATTTCAGAATTGTTCTCTAATGATGTGCAAGATTCGATAGAGTATGGGACTAAATGGAGGAACTGCTCACCTAAGATTACAGTTACGTTGTCAATATTTAGAGGCTTATTATGTTACATAGAAGATAATTATTAGTTTGGAGGATGACTGTTTGATCTGACTATTAGTATGACCTTTGCACAGAAGAATGATAAATTGGCTAATATTCAATGTCAAAACAATATACTTGACATTTCTTCTGGATTCTTGCATCTTGCTGGAGATTCATTGATTCCTGAAACTATCAGTAAAAGATGCCTTGAGGATGCTAAAGTTCTGCATCAGGTGGATAAAAAATTCATTCCAGTTGTGGCTGGCAGAACCCTTGCGGTTATTGATCAGGTCTGTCTATTGCACGTTATAGCAGTAAGGTCGAGTTTCACTTTTAGGCGCACTGAGGCATTTATGGACAAGGCTTTGAGGATAATAGTAGTACAATAATTCCTGAATAGAAATGTCGATAACCAGAAGCTCTATTAGAAATCATACAATTCGGTGCATCTGAAAGTTTGGCTGCCTGTCTGTCATTCTGCATACTGGCATATAAACTTTTACTCAGGAACACTAGTTATATTGCCCTAAAAGGATATAATTTTATCTTGACACAGAATAAATCAGTGTTCCTATATTTATTTGCAACACTTATTAAGAGAATACTCTTCTCTAGTATCTCTCTATAAGTGCATATCATCTAGGTTGGTTTGTTACAGCTGTCGTTGTTAGAAAGTTATAACAGCTTTTAGACAGTTATAACAAACTATCAGTCTTGACTATTTTACACATTCAATTAATAGAAGTAGTGTTTCTGAGTGCTTTCACTATAATACGCATCTGCATGTTTAGTTTATATGCATTTTGCCCTCGGGGGTGTAAAGAAGGATGATGATTTCGTGAGCCATGAGGAAGACCAAACATAGGGTAGCTTACGGATTTCCCTTGTGCCTCTACGTGCCACCATTGAAGATAGTTTTAAGCCAAAGATTGGAGGACCACGTACACCTAGGAAAATCAGACCACGTACACCTAGGAAATCAGATATTTGGCTAGAAAGCAATCGGGGTAACCCATGCATCTAAGTCCCCTTCTGGTTAGCCTTTATGTCAGACCAGTCTATTACTAGTCAAGTCCCTCATGCGGCTCATAGCCTGTAACCCACAACTATTTATTAAACTCTGCATTACACGATCTTTCAAACAGGCATACTCACTTTATAACACTACACAACATCTCTCATTAACATCATTTGCCTCTTCTATTTAGACCCATTGCTCCTCTCTCTCAATGCATTCTGTTGGACCTCTAAGCTTGGCTTTAGTTCATTACTATAAATAATAAATATAGCTTCAGAAAGGCCTGCTAACAGATTTAATAAATGCACATTCTTCTTTTACATTAATAGTCGTATTCCTTTTACAGCATGCTGCAGATGAAAGAATCAGGCTGGAAGAATTTCGTCAAAAGGTAACCTTGTTCATACTGAGCATGTAAGAAATATTATCCAGTATTACTTATGAAACTAGTCAAATACTTAGGTATTGTCAGGAGAAGCAAAAACAGTAACCTATTTAGATGCTGAACAGGATCTGGTATGCATCCTATCAATTAGAGAATTTAATGTCAACATTGATTAAACATTTTTCGTAGTCTTAAAAATCTTACACTGCTAGTAAGATACATGATACAGGTACTGCCAGAGATTGGTTATCAATTACTTCATAGTTATAGTGAACAGATTAAAGACTGGGGTTGGATCTGCAACATTCATGCTAAAAACTCCGAGTCCTTTAGAAGGTATACCACTCTGGCTTCCCTGTAGAATATGTACGTTTACCTTGACCAAGTTTTGTCAGTAGATAAATATCAGTTACAGTATATATAGTTTTGTGATGACTACTGTTTATTTGTTCATGTCAAACACTTTCAATTTGTTATCATTATTTTTGTAAATTTATAATTTTGTGTCTTTACAGGAATTTGGATATTCTAAAAAGACAACAAATAGACGTCACACTTGTTGCTGTCAGCACTTTTCTTTTTTCCTCTTCAATTTTTCTTTTTACTAGCAGAAAATATTATTTATTTGAATGTCTGCATTTAGTTTTTAATTGTAAATGCGTGACATATGCCTTGATGTTTTTCGTATTACTTATCTTAATCACAACTTGTAGGTACCGTGTATTTTAGGGGTCAAATTAAATGATGTTGATCTTTTGGAATTTCTTCAGCAGGTTACAAACATCCTGATCAGATTCCTTTTTAAATTATCTCCCTTAAAAAAAATTGGACATTTATGTCTTTCTAATATCCAATATATCATTACCTTCCAGCTTTCTGACACTGATGGATCGTCAACAATGCCACCCTCTGTCATTCGAGTGTTAAATTCAAAAGCATGCAGAGGTATGTACCTAACCGTATTGACCCCGGCAACCACATGATCAGGAGTTTGGAAAGCCTTCTTGTGCTTACATGTTTCCTTAAGCAAAACTAGAGTCATTTTTTCTGTTAAGTAAATTGGCTCTGTACATAATTATGTGCAAAAGCTGTATTGATGATTCGTTATTTTATCTACCAATTCGTGAGAAATGTCTTCCTATTTTCTGAAATTAAAAATATATGGTATGATATTATTCCTTCATTTTATCTCAATAGCATGCACTAAAACTCTCACCTTTTGCTCTCATTTTGTGAGGGAATATTGCAGTCATAGGGAATTATTCCTTTAATTTGATCAATAATGTTTGTTTTCGAAGGTGCAATTATGTTTGGGGATTCATTGCTACCATCAGAATGTTCCCTTCTAGTTGAAGAGCTAAAGCATACATCGCTTTGTTTCCAAGTAAGATATACGTTTCCATGTTTGTGTATCTAAGAGAGGAAAGTCAGTGTTGATGACAAATTTGGAATTTGCTGTGCAGTGTGCTCATGGGCGACCAACAACTGTTCCTCTAGTCAACTTGGAGGCATTGCATAATCAGATAGCCAAGCTTCGACTAATGAACCAGTCTTCAAGTGACAAGTGGCATGGATTACATAAGCATAAAGTATCCCTTGAACGTGTAGCACAACGTTTAACTTCTGCAAGTGAAAGTTTGAATCTATGAAGAAATTAGTCGTTACTATTACCCATGGAGATTAGCTTGACAGAATTCATACTACACTGCAAAACCATTCTGTTGTTGTAATTAAGTGTACAGCAAACATTGAGGATGTAAAAAAATAATGAAGCAATAGCCATACAGTGCTTATATGAATATTGCTGGATGACTATTTCCAAGAAATCCTGTTCATGGTTGAATTTCATCCAAGTTTTACAGTAATAATATACTGTGTACCATTAAATCACTCTCAATATATGGCATACTCAACTACTTCGGCTTATGGCCTCTATTGTGTTCTACCTACACATTTTTAGTCGCATAAGACTCCCAACATGCGAAAAATTTATAAAAAAAAAGTGTGATGATCAAATATACGAACAAATTTGAATGATACAATTCACAAAATGATAATAATTACGTGTTGAAATATGCAACTAAGTCAAACTTAAAAATATCATTGTGTTTTTAATGTATAGATTATAATTTATTTTTTGGTTTAGAAAAAAAAAAAATACTGACAGGAACAATTTTTTAATAATGCATTTGAAGTATATATCAATTCAGTCAGTCATCCCTACAATCTTTATATCAATACATGTTATAGATCATAGTTATTCTTGAAAGTATATGTTTAAATCGAATATTACAGATTTTGATAAATTGAAATCTATAAATATTAATTGTAAACTAGTTTTTGTGCCGCTTAAGGAAAATATACTAGTTCTAGCAGTCCTATGTTACAATACAAAATTTTCACCTGGTTTTACAAAAACTACCCAGTTTGTAGTTCGAAAAGTAGAGTCAATTGGCCTCTAAATTTAATTCATTTTCCAATGAATCTTCTCTCCTGCAGTATTGGCATTCAATGTGACAGAACAATAATTCAAACACAGACTAAATTGATGGAGTACAGAACCAGTATAAAAAACAAAACAGTCAATTATTTATTCTGCATGAGCGCAACTCTCTTCTTTACTATCAGTTGCAGCACACAGGGCCTTCCAGACATGGACCAACATTTTCACCGGAGGGCGTAAGTTCTGGCAAAACAGATTTAGAGATTCTTCTTTAGTGGGTAAAAGACCTCAAACAAACCGTCAAAATGATACCAGGCTTAAATGTCTTCTTCCGCTATGAATTATTCTCATGTTTTTAGTTTTCAAAAAAGCAAGCAGTAGTCTTTCCATCTTTAATAGTGAACAAAATTGAGAAACTGAAAACTAGTCAGATGGAAAGTAAATATACCTTGAAAACTAACAACATTTCTGATTCCTCACGCATAATCAATGAAAGAGTCCAATAACAAGTCATTGGAGTAACACGTTCTATTAGAACAGGTTTCAGAATCTTGTCAATGGGAATGAAGTATCGGATGACTTTCCCACTGCAGCAAAGTATCCAAAGACAAAATAAATAAATGGAATCGAATATGGAAAAACCATGCTAGGGTTACAATGGTCATTACAAAGGACAAGCAAGATACTAGTCAAACGAGCTGAAAACAAGTTGGATATAATCTGTCAGCCAAAAACAAGACTTTGAATTAAGTTTTCATCATGAATCTATTTGTGATTCAAAATTTAAATATACATTTTTAATTAAAATCATGAGGACTTAATCCATGAAACGAGCTGAGTACATTGTAATTTGTTTCCCAATATCCCAAACCTCTTCTTTGGTAGACAACAATTATAGAACTCACAATCCTTTACAAAACAAAATGTATTCATACATTAGGCTTTACACGAGCTCTTAATAAATGTTGAATGTTGACCGAATAATCAATCAACAAAAAGCACTACACCTCGAATAATGAGTCTCAAGCTGTACTCCAAAAGCTGGCATAATCACAACAGATTCTACAAGCAAAATTGCAAAATGAAATTTTAAAATTAAAACATGAATTAAATGACTATATTTCCTATTCCAGGTTAAAATAAAAATAACAGTTAATCTTTCATAATACAAAACCCAGCTAGGCAGGTCCTCACCTTTATTAACCAGCTTCCCAAGTAATGACTTGACTAGAAATATGTCAAAAAGAAAACTGTAATACACAAGACTAATTGATTTTTCCTGTTAATAGAAGAAAAGGTAAAAACCACAAAATTTAAAATCTGAGTCATTGATGAACAAAAATGTTGGAAGACATACCGTAAGAACATACAGATACAAGGCACATGCTAATACAGCAAGTGTTGTACCACACACAAAATAATATTTAGCATTACTCCTTCTCGAAACTATATGGTGTATGTCAACCACTTCAGAGGGATATTTCTGATCATGCACATAAGTATACCTGACATTGCTTATTGAGAATTCGACCATCCTGAAAAAATGTAAATTTTTTTCTTATACTCGCACTCATAGTTATCAATTTCAAACAGCAGTAAGGAGCAGCTAACTCCAAAACCAGTGCAGCAGAAAGCGCACAGCAAGATGACCATTGTTTTAAAGATTATTAATACAAGTTAAATACAAAAGTAAAAACATATTTATAGTTAATATTAAAAATTCATAGTTTTAAACCAAACACACAAGACAATAACAATATAAAACAAGGAAGAAAAAAAAAAGGAACAGTGATGGGATTAACAAAACTCATCAGAACTTAGAGTAGAAAAGAAAAAAGGGGGAATTACAGGTAAAAATATGTATATATATAAACAGAGAACAGATTCACAGAGAGGATGGATTCTTACTTTCCACTGTAATCTTATTCTAGACGCAATGTCACTTCAAAGGAGTTTACTTCTAAAGTCTTCCTAAGACAATGTTTCAGTTCTTCCAATGCTTTAGGTTTACACCACGGTGCCGATAGGGACAAGGCAAAAAAGTTCCTGAAATATAACGCTGGAGAATGCATATAGAATGGGTCATATAATTCATCTCCCAATGAGTAAAACTAAAACCCATAAAAGCCAGTTCAAGTAAAAAAAAAAAAAAAAAATTAAATTAAATGTGCCAAATTTCATCTTCATTGGCTCCGCCTATTTCTTGGTGTTAACAGTGCTAAGTCCACATAAGAATCAACAATGTCCTAACAACTAATATCAGACAGAATGCTTAATAAAATTACCCAAATCCTCAATTAATAACAGATAAGAAATGAAGTGGAATTGAAGGAATTTCATGTAAATATATGCTTCAAATACAAAGCAAAAAGAAGGAGTTTGAAACTTCAGATCAAGAGAACAAAAAACGTCGACGCAGCGCGCGAGACTTGCCTTATGATTTGCTTTGGAGGAAGCAAACAGCGGAGAAAGTCTGTACAGTGTGTTTCGATGTCCAACACAAGACACCATTCGAGTGATTGTTTCAGCTTCTTAATTAAACAAAATGTTTTATTATTTTATTTTAAATTTAAATATAATTTTATTCTCCTATATTTTAAAATTTTCCCAATAATTTTTTCTTGTTTTTTATTTCTTTAAAGTTAAAAATTATTATTTCCTCCTTTCAAACAACTGAATGCATGTTATCCTTGTAAAAAAAAAATCATTTCTCAAAAGTTTGAAATCATAATTTTTTTTAGCGTGTGTTTTAAATAACATTTGTTTTATAAATCTTAACTTATTTTTCTAATAATAGTGCATTACTATAAATTCCATTGAGTTTTGGGTTTTTCATCTTATCTCTAGAATAAATAATTATTCATAAACTATAATAAATTAATTTAAATTTGTTGTGTATTATTTTTATACATAAATTAATATTAATACAATTATTTTACAATTTCCATGCTAACATAAATTACATTCTAATGTTTCTTTCGCATTATCTTTTAATCAATTCATACTCCATCAATATGTATTTTAATTATATATATATATATATATATATATATATATATATATATATTAAATACATGTTAATAATTGGATACTTAGTGGCACAAACTAATTCAATAATAAAATCGAATAACTTCAACATTTTACAAATATCATTTGCAAGCTATAACTGTATATACGTTTTACAGTATACAATATATGATATAAAATTTAATCACAAAGGAAATGAAGAAAATAAAATGGAAATAAAATGATATCATGGATGTATAAAATTTTAAAAACGATAAAAAAAATAGATAATTAATTTTATGTATTTATCAAAGTGATTGGTTAAGAAAAAGATAAGAATGTGTCTAAATAGTTAAAGAAATTGAGAAAGGTAAAGGAAAAAAATAGAAAAAAAACATATAATGTGAGAAAAAAACCACCACTTTATCTGAAAAAAATTGAACCAATCTAAGAAGGGACTATATCTTCTGATTATGAGATAAACAAGAAAAAAAAAGTGAAGTTACAAATAAAAGAACGAAAATAATACTTTCCTCAACTAAAAAAAATAGTATATGCTCGGTAAATTTTAGATATAATAAAAAACTAAAAAGATAAATAAAAAAAAATCTTCAAAATAAATAAATAAATAAATAAGATAAGTTAATTTTATTCTATTTACTTATTACCAATAAATTAAAATGTGATCTCTAGGACGTATTATAGAATTTAAACATAGAAAATTCAAGCAAAAAATTAAAATGGATATATTAGAATTTCAATCATTTTTATTTTCATGAACGATGTCCTTGCTTTGTTCATACGTTGAAAGAGATAAATATGTTTAGTTTATGATACCAACATGAATATGAAAGGAAAATTTTCATGTGCTTATGCTGTTCAGTGAAGGGTATCCATCAGAACATAATCTCACATGTGTCTGTTCTTGTGCGCCGCCTTTTCCAACGCCCAAAAATCTAAGGCCCCCCAACACTTCATTTCTCTCCCTCATGTTGTAAGACAGCTATGGACATTATTTTAGTTAGGGAAATGCAGAATTAAAGACACCACCTATTATTGAATTTGAACTTATGTAAATGCAGAGTTGTATTTGATGTTAACTCTCCATTGAAAGATCCTTGTATTTAGTGTCATACCCTATCTCAAATGTGATTTTCTTTATCCACTGGATTAGAGGCTAATTCAACTTGCAGGTACTGTGATCATCGCTAACCCAACTAATATTTACACATTATGGGAAAGAACACAAGTTCCTTCACCACATGTGAGTGCAAGATGTCTAACCATTTCACCAACCCATTAAATTTGTCTCCAATATAATTGCTTTTGAGTAAAGGTACATGTAAAGAAAAAAAGAAGATAGCTTGACATTTATAGCACATGCACTAGAACATGAAATCATCCGCAAATTATGGAAATATTTGGTTGATTATGCACATTCCCTCCATGGATTTCCACGTTTAGAAGGTCTGCCAGATGCAGCTGCACACAAATATATTACGTTTTCAGAAATAATGTCAAAGAAGTGTTACCATCTTGTATCAAAACTGAATCACAGTTGACTTTCATTCATGGTACATGGTAGAGGTAGATGCCTCTGAAATAACTCATTATTGGTATTTGACTTTTCGTAAGAATAACAACTTCTAACACATTTCCCAAAGTGAAAAACAAAAAAAAACAAACGTTATAACTACAACCATCAATCAATTTTCTGCTTAGCAAAAAATGCCACTCATGTACAGTATGAATTACCGCAACTCAATGCCCCTATATAACGAGCTCACACCAACTACTATATATATATATACACATCAATATTAATTAGGTGGTTATCTTCCAATTTCAGTAATCATGTATAATAAGGCTTGCTCATTGTGCAGGATTCTTTATAGTCACAATGATAATGTAAAATGGTGCTTCTCACTTCTTCTTAGAGCATATATCCTTTGTGAGTTCTCCAACCAGGTCATCAGTTATTAGACATTCTATATCTCTGTCCAAAATATTGATCTCATCATTTATTAATTCAGACCAAGGGATGGATCCTAGGTGTTGAGCCACCAAAGTATCAAGTGAATAAGTAGATATGTCAGATGGAGGATATATAGAAACACGGATGATGTCCCACACTAAGTTCAATAGTTCCTTTCCAGATGGTGGCAACATGGAAGAGTTACTTGATTTCCTTCTGAATCTCGACAACATCAAAGGAGGTCCAAGAACAACTGAAAGTGCCTCATTTAACAAATCAAGCAAAACTTTGTGGTCTAGCTTATTCTCATTCTGATCCTTGATACAGCTTTCCTCATTTTCCTTGACAGATTTCTTGTGAGATTCTTCCACTTCTTCATAAACTGAGTGGCCAATAGGCTTTGCAAATGTGTCCCCTCTTAATAAAGACTTATCCCATGAACCAAAGTACAGACCGGAAGCAACAAGTAGATCTCGTATGTAAGATTCTGCTGGATCCTCTAATTGGTCTAAGTCAGACTCGGCTGGCTCCTGTTTCATAGTGAAGTCCTCAGGACCATCAGATTCAAGTTGATTGAGTTGCCTCCTTAGTTCTGTCACATCATCAACAAACAAAGAGATCTATTAGCAAGAATTTGATACGAGGGGGAACGATATTAACACGGCATTGAGAAAAAGAGAACAAGGGAGATTATCATTTTTTTCTTGTCACTAACATTTCATACACGAAACACTTTTCTCATCTCGCTTACAGCTACACCAAAATCAAATCAAACCACAGGCTGATCCCTCTGACATCTGAATCTATCTATAATATTCACGACAGTAAAATCAAATTCCATGACATTAACAGTCTTTTACTAAGCTAATTGTTGCCTCACTGAAGCAAACAAATTTCATTAGTCATTTGAAAATGAATTAAAGTTGTTCGTTGATATCACTTCATATTGCACATGCAGGAAAACCATAATAAACTACCTCATTATCATTTCTCAAGTCTATGATATCATTTCCCATGCATGAAAGTTAGAATTATATCATACCATTCAAACCCGAGCTGATATCCCTGAAAACCTGGGGCACAACATTATCATCTCTTGAAGACACATCAGGAGTTGATGTTGGACTTAAATATTCAGTCCGCCTCCAAAAGTCTTCATGGACGCTGCTGCACACAGATGCAGGACTAGGAGGTACCTCAGTGGAGTTCTCCTAAAGAGCACGTGACAGAAAATCTGGTGATTAGATTACTATGAAATGTAATAAGAGAAAAAAAAAAAGTTCACAATTGAAAATGGTCAGAAGTATATGGCAAACTTACATGCCGCTGACCACAGTTCATAAGAACTGTTGGTCCACTTGTGACATCTCTCACCATGGGACCATATTCATTACCATGTGATTCCACCATTGATTGAACCCTTCTGCCAAAAAGCCTCCCTCTGAAAGCAAGATTATACCTAAAATTGGAGACTCTTTCTTTAATATTAAATCTATCCTTTTTCCGTTTCTTCACATCAACAGACAGAGTTTCAACAGCTTCAAGCTTCCTCCGAATCTGAGCACCAGTTAAAATGTGGCGGTCCTCCAGAAGAAGCTTCCCAAATGATGTTCCTGATCGTGATACAGGAGCAGACAAGGATCTTACAAGATTCCTGGGGGACAACTCCTTGTGGAGAAATATATTCTCATCCAGTTCATGCCTGAAAGAACCTGTTTGAATTTCTGTGTCCTCTTTGGAAATTTCCCAGTTATTTGCATACTTCATATTATCTCGCGCTTGCTTTACTCCAGCTTTATGTCTATCTAATGCAAGTAACCTTAGTTTTCCCTCAGGAACGTCAGCATATGCTTCACTTCCCACAACATTTCTTAGCCTATCTGACAAGAACTTCCGGGTATCTCTGCTGATAATTTCTGGGGAAGTTGGTCCATTGAACTGCAATTCGCTTTTGAATGACCCTGTTGATTCTGAGGAGAGTAAATTTGCGTCAGCCTCTCTAGTCGCGCTTTCTCTGACTTGCTTTACTATATGTCGGGCTATTAGTTTAGGATCAGATGAGTTTTCATTATAAGGTGTTTTAATACCACTCCCTCGAACCACAGAACCCTTTTTGACAGTTTTCCCTTGTAGTTCACATCTCAAACGCTCTTTCACCTCTTCAAGAAAATCTTCTATACTATTTCTCCCTTGTATAGTTCTTGTTGAAATGGTCCAATCCTCTTCATGGTTGCAAATGCTATCAGGACCAGGCTTCAAGATAACTATCCTAGTGGGAGAAGATGTATCTAATCTGTTGCAATATTTCATCATTAAGGACTCTTCAAAATCTCTACTTAGTGTTCTGCTCCTTGGAGGAAAGGTTTTCCTTGCTGGGACTAACTCCATCATGTTACCTTCATATTCTGAACTTTCAGGTGGTGGTGTTTTGAATGAGTGGCTTTCACGATCTGCAAGTTTCCCTGCTGTCGTTCTTTGTAAAACCAAATCATTATGCATCACCTTTTCCTTGTTCAGGTTTTCTTGAGCAAGCAATCGTCTTGGAACACTTCCAATTTCAGCAACCTTTGAACACTCCAGAAACCTTGCTGCTTGATATGCCTCAAACTCTTTCTTGAACTTCTGGAGTTCCTCCTCCTGAGGATGACCCCGCGGCCTCGGTTCTCCAAAACTCTTGTTCCATCCATCATCATCATCATCAACATCTATGTCTTCATAGCAAGACTCAAAATCCATATTGGTCGAAGAATTGAAGCTGGAAGAACCCCAACTAACTGAACCCCTTCGACTCACTCCTTTCTCTGAAGACTTCTTCCCCAAGTTTTCACTTATTCTTTTATCTGATGGGCCAACATATTTAGTGTCTAATGGCATCGTATCTATCCCCATCAACCTTGCCACAAGGCTTGGCGCATTTTGCCTGGTGCTTGATTGTTTGGACAACTCCTCATTAATCAGTTTTTTCATTGAACCCACATTTGAATAACGATTCTTCTCATGCCTGCCCTCTTCTTCTTCTACCTGATAATTGCACTGAAAATTCAAATAAGAGAATAACTCAAGATTGGGAAGAGACTGAGAGAAATAAATAAAGTTAATTTGCTGCTCTGTAGATGGGACTGGAAAATTTATGAGTTTACTACCACGCATTTGATTAAAAAGTACGATGATGAGTGGTCTAACAAAAACAGAACTGTGCTCGACATTTTTGCAATCAGTCAATTAAATGAAGGGAAAATCAATCAAATTCGAAAAACTATCATGGGTGAAGATGACACAATGTTTATACTTAGATGGAGAGATGAATGACACAACTCACAGAGATTTGCTAAAATACCCACTAACATGGGCTCCACTCTCTCACAACTTTGAGGGGTCATTCTCAAAACTCAAATTGGTATCAAGAAAACAGAATAGAGGCAGGAAATATGGTGTTGTAGACCCTTACTGGTAATTCTCCTTCTGGACAGTAGTTCTGAGGTGTTTGTACTTGCAGATCTAGACTATTTCGAGGAGCTTCCAGGCCTACATGACACAATATAATAACAAAATCAGCCACACAATTCTAAAATAGAGACAACTTTCAAGACTTCATGAATATTGAGAAAAATGGGGAAAACCCTGAAATTCAACAAGATATCTCCAAATAAAAAAAAATTAGCCTTCACAATTAGATTGTTTATGTTAGATTGCATCTTAAAACCAAGTTGCATTAATTGGATATATAACCTGCACATCCTGGAATTGAGAAGGGCGATATGTGATTCATCATATCAATAACATTTATAATATTGTAAAATACAAAATTGACAGACGAATTAGCTATTGCAGTCTTCCAGTTGCAGGAATGAATCATAAGAAATTAGTGCACAATCAAGCTTCCTAATAGTGTGTCTTCCCCTCAGTGGAACATGTCAGGGGTATAAACCTAAGAAGTTTATTCTTAGCATGAGTGATGTTTTCCATGAATTTAACTAACAACACCTACCACCAGGATGTCTCTTCCGAGCAAGTACTTTCTTGGCCATCCTCCCCTGATTGAATTCAAAAAAGTGTAATAAGCCTCCCATACAAACAGAGTCCACTACAAGGCTCCCATGTCCTCAATTTCATCTTCCATGTCTCACTTCATTAAACCCTTTGTAATTTGCACCCTACAATGCCATATCTTCATCAGGTACCAGTTAAAGGAAATTCAGCAGACTATATAGCGCAACATCAAACATCATAACTTCCAAAAATAAACATAAGATTTCATTTAAAGCCAAAAACAGAAGATATATAAAATAAGTCAATCTATATATGGAAAAGAAAAGGCAGATGTCTAGTAATGAGGACTCAGAATTTCGATAACGAATCAACTAATTCTGGTTCACATCAGAGCATGTAAGCCTTCATGCCAATTCTGATGCTATAAGCACACACATTCACAACTGAATTATGCATTTAGTAAGAAGGATAACTAATCGGCTATCTTTGGGCCTTTTAAATAGTAATAATTGTACCCTGTGTAAAGCAAATTAGCATGAAAAGTGAACATCAGTCAATGAAAACAATTTAGTACGGGTAAAGCACGCAGACCAATATCTTCCGGTGTTGCCTAAATCGACGAATTGTTTGAAGATTCGAGTGAAAGGGACAAGTTAGAAAAATGTCAAAACTGCTTTCATATGCTGATCCAAAAGACAAAGTGTTACAACCATCCCAATAACTCAAAACGGTTATATCTCCAGAATTCACTCATAAAAAGTCAATCAGAGAAACACAATAGCAGGTTCTGAGAAAATGCATGAACCCGACATGTCCCACGATGCCACAACTCTGGTCAATAAACATTGCTGTTCCAAACAAATGATTAACTGACTCCCACAGCTTTTCCAAGCAACACAATCACATCAATGCACAGATGAGAAACCACAAAACAAATCAATATACCAGTGAGTGGTGAGAAGACTCAGGGCAAAGAAATGTATGAAGATGCAAAGCATAAAGTCTTAATCAATGAACAGAAGAAGATGGGTAAGGTTGAAAAGCTGGAAAGTTTCAAACTTTGTGAAAAAAATGAAATTGGTAGAAGGAAAAGGTTAAAAAAAAATGAAAATAGAATGAATGGTGTGCAATGAAGAAGAGAGGTAGAGATTAAAAGTTTTATGAATAATAAGAAAAATGATGATGACAGAGGGAAAAGGCTACGAGGTTCGTTACCGGATATAATAATAATGAGTGAGCAAAAAACAATGGAGTTTCTCTCTCTGCAATTTTTTCTTTACTCCTTCACTAATCATTTCATTTTCATGTACTTTTATTTGTTCTTCATACAAATCATGGCTGCTACTACACATAGCCCCCATGGGCTTGTCTTTTTTTATTTTACTTTTTGTTGGCTGAGATAATGATACCCATTAAAATAATACATTTAAAGGGAGACATATTTATTACCATGATTGTTTTCGTTTTTAACACATGAGTTATAAAGTTTTAATACGACAACAGCTAAGATATATGTAAACTAATTTATGATATACAATTAATAATACTAAATTTAATTATAATAAAATATTAAGACTAATTATACATTTTTTTAACTGATCATTTTCCACTTAAATAATTAATATATAGAAAATAATAATAGTGAATTTCAACTTTTTTTACTGTTATCGTGTGGAAATTGAAAGGTGGTAAGAAACAATTCTGAAAGTTCCTCCATTAATAAGATTTGACATGTTGTTCTCATGTCGGAAATTAAGTTTACTGCATATGCATGTTTGAGAAATGCCTTGAAGTTGTAGAGTATATATTTATATAAAAAATCTATGCATTCTTTTGCTAATCGATTTTTTAATAATGGGAGAGAAACAAAAATAAACTTATTATAATTTTAAAAAATATTATAATTTATATAATTAAAAAAAATAGGAAAAATATGAGAAATATAAAAAATGGATATATTTAAAGAAAAAAATAAAATTTAATAATAAAAAAAGGCGGATACACGACCTGTGTTTCCACATTGGAAAATAGAAAGAATTATTTTTATAACCGCTTTTTTGGTGTCATTAATAAAAAGTTATAATTTAAATAAAAATAATTATTAAAATATATATTTTTAAAAAATAGAAATATGAAAAAGAAAAAAAAAATATATATATATATATATATTCAAATAATAGAAAAAAATAAAATAAAAAATAACAAAATTATCGTGTGTATTTTCACAATATCTAACCTATTGTTCCTTGCTAGACATATTAATAATATTATTTCTCATTATTTCAATATTGAATTTCAAAGAGAGTAAATTTTCATTTTTTTATGTTACTAAACAACTAATAATTTTGAAAAAGTAAAATATGCTTGTATAATTAAAATTTTTTACTTAATATTTTATATACTGAATTATAATAAATGAAATTATTTTTACATTATTCAATTTAAATATATTGAAAGTGTACAACTTTTTTCATATTGTCATTTAGTTAAAAAGTATTACATGATAAAATTGTTAATTTTTTAGAAATTAATTTAAAATTTATGTCGAAATTTTTTTCTAATTGATATGGATACTGTAAAATATTAATATGATGCACCAAAATTGAAGTCTAATTTGCATATTGTAGTTATTAATTTTTAAAATAAATTAAAACCTTAAAAAATAATTCTTTGAATTATTTTCTTCAAAAATTACCACTTACACTTTAAAATTCCGTACTGCTAGATTTATTTGTCATAAATAAAATTAATACTTTATTAGAAAATATTGACATAATTCATATTGACCTTTTATACACAAGTAAAGTCAATATTTGAGTGAAAAATATATATTGTTTGTACAAAGTTTTAAATTAAAATATTCCTTATATAAAAATTATTTGATCTTGATTTTTTTTAAGAATAATGTGTGTCAATCCTAATGTTTTAACATTTAAATTCTTTTATACTTATTTTTTTACATTCTTGATTTTTTTTTCACTTTAAATATATTTCTATCCCGTAATAACTGTATTGTAGAGTTTTTTAGACATATTAAAAATAACTATAAGTAGCATCACTTTCTCTATAAATGCGAAAATAATTGATTAATTATTTTTATAAGAAATTATAATCAAAGAATGCTTCATTGAAATGTGCTAATATAGATTTAGAATTTTTATAGATAGCTAAAACTCCAACGTTATGGAATGGAGAGAATATGTTTTAAGATTCTAGAAAAAAGAAAAAGAAAAAAAAGTATGATTCATATATAAGAAACAAGACTTTTTAACGTAATTATCATAAAAATTAAGAATTTTACTGTCACATATAATGATTTTTATTGGAATTTTAAATGTATTTTATAAATGCAAATAATTTATTCGTTCTTGAATATAAATAAATAATAATAAATTACACGTTTTATTAAATAATAATAATTTATTCGTTCTTGAAAATAATTTTTTAATTAAATAAATGAAAGACAGTCTTATTAAATTAATAAATAAAATTAACTGAAAGATATTTATATTAGACATAATATTATTTTTAATTCCTAAAAATACACGGTCTATATAAAAAAATAATTAATTAAATAAATAAATTACATTTAAAAGTAAAACATAGGTGATAAGTATATAATGAAAATCGAATAAATTATCCTTTTCTATATCTTTTTATTTTGATATATATATATATATATATATATATATATATATATATATATATATATACCTTTTAAAAATAACAGCTTCAAATTCATCATTTATTCTGATATTTTTATATATTTTTTTAATTTAATAATTAAGATAATTTATTATTTTCTATTATCAAATTATAAAAAATATAAATAATAAAAATTATAAAAAATATAAATGATAAAGATATAAAATATAATGTTCTTTTTTTTTAATAAGTGATCACGAATATTCTATTTTAGATTTATATACGATGATATCTTTATATTATACATTAATTTATTATAATTTTTTTTTAAAGTTGAATGATGAAAATATATAAATAGATTTATCATTATAAAATATATATATATATATATATAAAGTTTATTAATTTAAAATAAATGAAATTGATATAATTTTAAATTATAAACTATAAGATAGTATTGAATTTTATTATTTTTACAGATAGTACTATTATTAAACAATAGTGAGATGGTACAAAACAATAATTGGTAGGGTTAATGCACGCAATGCGATGCAACACAACACAACTAACCAAACAGCGCAGAGATCACAGAGGTAGAGGATCCCGATTTTCTACTTTAGAGTATGTTTTCCCCAAATACCACCCTTGGATATTTCAACAAGATTTTGACACGTGTCAAACATATTAGATGAAAATTGTTTGTTAAATATGAACACGTTTTATTTAATTACAATCCCCATTAATTGAAATGAGCTAGTCTTTAAAAGTTTCTGAAACAATCAGCATAAGCGTATTAAATATAGTCTTTAATATGTGGCTGTTTGCATAATAACCCAATTTGAATAAAATTCTCTGCACCTTCTATTTCTTTATTTGTCCTTTTCTCTTTTATTCTCACTATCACATGCTTTTCTTAACTTTTTTCACACCTATTATTCTCTACATTTTCCAATATATTCTTAAATAATATGCTTCTATATATATATATATATATATATATATATATATATATAACTTTTTTAATATGTATGCTATTTTAAAAAAATATATATACTCTCCAATCATCTATCTTATATACCAATTAACTTTTATATATATAAAATTTTTGTTTACAAATAAACTTGTGAAATCATACCCTTGAGAACTCCTTTATATCATTTTGTAATACAAATTTTTTGGGTAAAAAGAATAGACATTGGAGAAACACTAAGAATATTTTTCTTGGAACTGCCATAGTCCATGTGTAAATGTGACCTTTTTGGAGGGTTCATTTAGTCGGAGGAACTTGTACTACAGATAAATTTCCTAAACAAATCTAGTCCCCAAATTTGGTAAGGAAGAACGTGTCATGTTCTCGGTAAAAATAAAAAATAAAAGTAAGGAAAAAATATTT